AAAGCATACTTTTCAATTTATTTTGCAAATGCTGCATCCTTTCATACTTGTTGTAATTCGTAACATTTCCGCCACTTTCTGCTTATACCGGGGGTCTAGTAGCGTGGACACCCAGTACAGGTCGTTCTCCTTCAGCCTTTTTATACGAGGGTCCCTCAACAGGCACGACAGCATGAAAGACCCCATTTGCACAAGGTTGGATGCCGAGCTACTCATTTCCCGTTCCTCCCCCTCACTGATGTCAATGTAGGTATTTTCTTCCCCCCAGCCACGTACAACACCACAGGTACCAGATAGGTGACAACGAGCACCCTGGGATGCCTGTTGTGGTTGGTCTTGCTCCTCCTCTTCCTCTTCCTCAAAGCCACATTCCTCCTCTGACTCCTCTTCCTCACAATCCTCTCCCAGCGTTGCCGCAGGTCCAGCAAGCGATGCTGATAAGGCTGTTTCTGGAGGTGATGGTGACCACAACTCTTCCTCTTCCTCTTCACGCTCATCTACGGCCTGATTCAGCACTCTTCGCAGGGCACGCTCCAGGAAGAAAACAAATGGTATGATGTCGCTGATGGTGCCTTCGGTGCGACTGACTAAATTTGTCACCTCCTCAAAAGGACGCATGAGCCTACAGGCATTGCGCATGAGCGTCCAGTAACGTGGCAAAAAAATTCCCAGCTCCCAGAGGCTGTCCTAGCACCCCGGTCATACAAATATTCATTAACGGCTTTTTCTTGTTGGAGCAGGCGGTCGAACATTAGGAGTGTTGAATTCCAACGTGTCGGGCTGTCGCAAATCAAGCGCCTCACTGGCATGCTGTTTCGCCGCTGGATATCGGCAAAGTGAGCCATGGCCGTGTAGGAACGCCTGAAATGGCCACACACCTTCCTGGCCTGCTTCAGGACATCCTGTAAGCCTGTGTACTTATGCACAAAGCGTTGTATGATCAGATTACACACATGTGCCATGCACGGCACGTGTCAACTTGCCCAACTTCAATGCCGCTAACAAATTTGTTCCGTTGTCACAAACCACTTTGCCGATATCCAGTCGCTGCAAAGTCAGCCACTTTTCCACCTGTGCATTCAGGGCGGACAGGAGTGCTTGTCCGATGTGACTCTCTGCTTTCAAGCAAGTCAAACCCAAGACGGCGTGACACTGCCGTATCCGGGATGTGGAATAGTACCTGGGGAGCTGGGGGGGTGCCGTTGATGTGGAGCGTGCAATCTAATGTGCCACCAGGTAGGAGTGGTGTGTTTAGTACTATTGTTATCAGTTTAATCACTGTTACGTCCCGTATCCGTTGATGTGGAGCAAGACGCAGCAGCAGAACAGGACTCAGTCGAGGAGGTTATGGAAGATGAGCGTGAACTGCTCAAGGCGGGAGGCGGAGTGGCGGATGGTTGAGAGGGGACAAGGAGGACAGCAGTGGTTGACGTGGCTGAAGATGCTGGACTAGGAGGAGGCTGGCGGCTTAGAGTAGGCGAGCTGCTTGTAATCATGTGTTGATCCCATAGGCGTCTGTGATGTGAGATCATGTGCCTACGCAAAGCAGTTGTACCTAGGTGGGTGTTGGACTTCCCACGACTCAGTTTCTTTTGGCACAGCAAATGGCATCGCTGTTGTCAGAGGCAGACACACAAAAAAAATGCCACACTGCAGAGCTCTGCAATGACGGCATTCTGGTGGTATGATATGAGTGGCACTGTAAACTGGCAGAGTACATGCTGTAGGGCTGACACACCCACTTTAAGGACACTGACTGCTATTCAATCTATAACAGTGAAAAAAGTGTTTTGTTTTTTTAAATCCAAGCTTTTGTGTCACCAGATCTAATTGGTGGCACTGGTCAGCGTATCCACTGTTAGCGTAACACACCCGCTTTAAGGACACTGACTGCTATTCAATCTATAACAGTGAAAAAAGTTTTTTGTTTTTAAATCCAAGCTTTGTGTCACCAGATCTAAGCGGTGGCAATGGTCACCGTATCCACTGTTAGCGTAACACACCCGCTTTAAGGACACTGACTGCTATTCAATCTATAACAGTGAAAAAGTGTTTTGTTTTTTTAAATCCAAGCTTTGTGTCACCAGATCTAATTGGTGGCACTTGTCAGCGTATCCACTGTTAGCGTAACACACCCGCTTAAGGACACTGACTGCTATTCAATCTATAACAGTGAAAAAAGATTATTTTTTTTTTAAATCCAAACTATTGTGACACCAGATCTAATTAGTGGCACTTGTCAGCGTATCCACTGTTAGCGTAACACACCCGCTTTAAGGACACTGACTGCTATTCAATCTATAACAGTGAAAAAAAGTGTTTTGTTTTTTTAAATCCAAGCTTTGTGTCACCAGATCTAATTGGTGGCACTGGTCATCGTATCCACTGTTAGCGTAACACACCCGCTTTAAGGACACTGACTGCTATTCAATCTATAACAGTGAAAAAAGATTATTTTTTTTTTAAACCAAGCTTTGTGTCACCAGATCTAATTGGTGGCACTGGTCAGCGTATCCACTGTTAGCGTAACACACCCGCTTTAAGGACACTGACTGCTATTCAATCTATAACAGTGAAAAAAGTGTTTTGTTTTTAAATCCAAGCTTTTGTGACACCAGATCTAATTGGTGGCACTGGTCACCGTATCCACTGTTAGCGCAACACACCCGCTTTAAGGACACTGACTGCTATTCAATCTATAACAGTGAAAAAAGTGTTTTTTGTTTTTTAAATCCAAGCTTTGTGTCACCAGATCTAAGTGGTGGCACTGGTCACCGTATCCACTGTTAGCGTAACACACCCGCTTTAAGGACACTGACTGCTATTCAATCTATAACAGTGAAAATAGTTTTTTGTTTTTAAATCCAAGCTTTGTGTCACCAGATCTAAGTGGTGGCACTGGTCACCGTATCCACTGTTAGCGTAACACACCTGCTTGAAGATAACTAACTGCTATTCAATCTATAACAGTGAAAAAAGTGTTTTATTTTTAAATCCAAGCTTTGTGTCACCAGATCTAAGTGGTGGCACTAGTCACCGTATCCACTGTTAGCGTAACACACCCGCTTTAAGGACACTGACTGCTATTCAATCTATAACAGTGAAAAAAAGTGTTTTTTGTCTTTAAATCCAAGCTTGTGTCACCAGATCTAAGTGGTGGCACTGGTCACCGTATCCACTGTTAGCGTAACACACCCGCTTTAAGGACACTGACTGCTATTCAATCTATAACAGTGAAAAAAGATTATTATTTTTTAAATCCAAGCCATTGTGACACCAGATCTAATTAGTGGCACTGGTCAGCGTATCCACTGTTAGCGTAACACACCCGCTTTAAGGACACTGACTACTATTCAATCTATAACAGTGAAAAGAGATTTTTTTTTTTTTAAATCCAAGCTATTGTGACACCAGATCTAATTAGTGGCACTGGTCAGCGTATCCACTGTTAGCGTAACACACCCGCTTTAAGGACACTGACTGCTATTTAATCTATAACAGTGAAAAAAGTGTTTTGTTTTTTTAAATCCAAGCTTTGTGTCACCAGATCTAAGTGGTGGCACTGGTCACCGTATCCACTGTTAGCGTAACACACCCGCTTTAAGGACACTGACTGCTATTCAATCTATAACAGTGAAAAGTGTTTTGTTTTTTTAAATCCAAGCTATTGTGACACCAGATCTAAGTGGTGGCACTGGTCACCGTATCCACTGTTAGCGTAACACACCCGCTTTAAGGACACTGACTGCTATTCAATCTATAACAGTGAAAAAAGTGTTTTTTGTTTTTAAATCCAAGCTTTGTGTCACCAGATCTAAGTGGTGGCACTGACTGGGAAATGGGCACAGTATGCACTGTGAGCCTGACACAGAAGCTGGCAGCAGTGGCAGACAACTGACTGCTATTCAATCTATAACAGTGAAAAAAGTTTTTTATTTTTAAATCCAAGCTATTGTGACACCAGATGTAAGTGGTGGCATTGACTGGGGAAATGGGAACAGTATGCACTGTGAGCCTGACACAGAAGCTGGCAGCAGTGGCAGACAACTGACTGCTATTCAATCTATAACAGTGAAAAAAGTTTTTTGTTTTTAAATCCAAGCTATTGTGACACCAGATGTAATTGGTGCCACTGACTGGGGAAATGGGCACAGTATGCACTGTGAGCCTGACACAGAAGCTGGCAGCAGTGGCAGACAACTGACTGCTATTCAATCCATAACAGTGAAAAAAGTTTTTTGTTTTTAAATCCAAGCTATTGTGACACCAGATGTAATTGGTGGCACTGACTGGGGAAATGGCACAGTATGCACTGTGAGCCTGACACAGAAGCTGGCAGCAGTGGCAGACAACTGACTGCTATTCAATCTATAACAGTGAAAAAAGTTTTTTGTTTTAAATCCAAGCTATTGTGACACCAGATATAAGTGGTGGCACTGACTGGGAAAATGGGCACAGTATGCACTGTGAGCCTGACACAGAAGCTGGCAGCAGTGGCAGACAACTAAGTGCATTTACATTACATAGAAAAAAATAATTAAAAAAAAGCATACCCTTATCCCTAACCTAGCTATGCTTTTCCTTATCTTATGAACAGCAGCTACACTTTCCCTCCTCTTACTAAGCATGCAGCTTGAGAATGAATCTAAAATGGATGCCTTCCAGGAGGTGGGAGGGTCTGCTAGGAGGGTGTGCTGCTAATTGGCTGGAATGTGTCTGCTGACTGTGAGGTACAGGGTCAAAGTTTACTCAATGATGACGAATAGGGGGCGGGTCGAACCGCGCATATGTTCGCCCGCCGTGGCGAACGCGAACATGCTATGTTCGCCGGGAACTGTTCGCCGGCGAACCGCTCGGTACATCACTATCCACGAACGGCAAATAGTAACCGAACGTCAATATCTCCCAAGCGGCAAATAATCCAAATAAGTAGTCTCTAGTCGCTGGTAACCAAATCCCCCCAATAACGAGACCAAGCTCCGCTTTGAGGGTAAAACACGAACTGATTTACTGTGGGCTACCTGACCGGTATTTATGCAGGTCTCCCACCTGGTGGACACTCCCCTAGGGGACCAAATGGGAGACTGAAATTACAGAAGGACATGGGGACATTTTGGACATACATCCCCACAATATTCCCAGCATGCAGTACAGTTCCCTCCCCTCTGCTCGGGGGATAATTGGGAAGTAACTCAATTATCTCCCCGAGCAGAGGCAATTGCCATTTTAAATACAAGTCACAAAAACACATGAAAATCTATAACTTCATAACTGCCGAACATATTACATTCGTATTACATATCCCCAGATAGCCTGGATCTGAGTGCATATTATTGGAGAATAGCGCTCAGATCCCATTCGCACAGTTCAATCGCCATGGAGTCAAAGTCTCTTTCAGTTCTTCGGTATGCGATTGACTCCATGGGACGGCTATCTGGGTTAAGTCCATTCGTGTGGTTGAATCTCCCGAACGGCTGGCATTCGTGTACTTTTGTCGATTGAGAAGGGGAGGACGACGGCTTCAGCGGTGTTCGGCTGAAAAAGTGTCCGTTTTCAGATCCATGAAATAATCGAACACCGCTGGTCTTTCGCATGGACAAAATGGCCGCCGCCTCGTGGTCGACATACGAACGACGACCACCCGGCATTCAGTTTTAATTGAGAAGTGTCTGTGGTTAACCGCAACGTTCTAATTGGGATCAATAGGTTAACCAGCAGCACACTTCTCTTCTGGGTGGCCATCCGTTCGGTAGTTCCGTTCGACAAAAACCGACATTCCCTTGAATAAAGCATACGAATGGGGAAATTCATGTAACCGGCAAAACAGGTGAACAAAGCATTTGTAATCCAGACAGATGGGTCTGTCACAATAGGTACATGCTTCTATTATAGAACTCAATCTTCTCTCCTCTCAACTGTTTCTGGTGTGTTATTGTGTTTTGTTTGTAAATGTCTAGGCATGCAAAACTGTGGATGTAATTTTATTACTGTGGAAACAAAATAAGGATTATTAAGAATAATAACATTCAATATTTTATGTAACCACAAAGAGCACTATTTACTTTGTTGTTAATTCCACGATCATGAGATAACGTGAATATCAATAAGAGATAAGCCAAGAGGTAACTTTATTTTTAAAAGTTCAAATGTTTTGGATTGTGATAACGTTGAAAATACACAAAAACACAATTCTAGCCTGAGTTCAGGAGGTGTAATGGGATGAATAAATGGCTGTGATTATAACTGATGCATTTGACTGGTAAAACTAACATGAATGTACTTTAGTTTCAAATTACATGTCACACAATATAATATATATAATTTAACATCATAATAATAATAATAATAATAATAAAACTAATATCAGAACTTAAACAAGTTGCAGAACAATAGGCAATGATGTCAAACCTTTTTTTCTTTTCCTTTTGTAAAATATGCTTTAAAATAGTTTTTTCCTCAGTAGGAATAGAAATAATCTAGTTTAAAAAAAAGGCCTGTCACATTTATTCTAGATCTCCCTTAGAACCAGGAACTGCTTGTGCCAGCAGGTAAACAAAAAAGCATATAGGATACAATACAATAGCTATACTGAAGCAGAGTATACAATAGCTATACATTCTAATTACTGATGAAAAGAAACCAGCTCAGTACTGTTTTCAGCATCAGCAAGGTAAACAGTATATAAAGGCTCTTCATTCTGTGTAACAGCATAACTTGCATGAGCAGATCAACCATCACTGAAAATGGGAAAGGTAAGATGATCTGAATATTGTAAATATGTAATTTTTTTAAATGAACCAAAACAAATTCAAATGTTAAATGCTTACACTGAATGCCAGCAAACTTTATCCTATACAATATACTGTGGTGAGTTTATCTAGGCCAGAAACATGACAACATAATATTCCATAAACTAGTTTTGGACATTTGCCGCCTCATCAAATACAAATTCATCAGAACACATGCTTCACATGTTTACTTTTTTCAGACTCAAGATTAAGATTTTTTCAGTTTTTTAAAGTACTTTCTAGTGAATGCCACTATTAACCGTAATAAATTGCTATAATTATGTGAAAGTGAATGCAAGTTCACCAATCTAAAAAAACACAAAATGTACCAAAAACATATATTCCAATTCGGTCCTAAACTTAGATGTTTAACACCTACACTTTATTATTTGAACAGGATAATAGTAGATGTCTTTAGGAATCTATAGCATCAAGTAATCAAACCAGAAACTATTTTTTAAATGAAATTATTAACCACTAAAACAATAATAAACTAAAAAATCTAAAATGTTCAAATGCATGGTTGTTTCACAGATTGTCTTCTACGAGGATCGTAACTTCCAGGGCCGCTCTTATGAGTGCAACTCTGAGTGTCCAGATATGTCCTCATATTTTCAGCGCTGTAATTCCATCCGAGTGGAAAGTGGAAACTGGATTCTGTATGAGCACCCCAACTATAGAGGACACCAGTATTACCTTAGCAGGGGAGAATATCCTAATTTCCAGCAATGGATGGGTTTCAATGACTCCATCAGATCTTGTCGTATTAGCCCACAGGTAAAGATATTTACCAAAATAGTTAAGAACCTTACATAAATATGATGCAGTACAAAAAAACATTATTTTCCTATTATTATAGGTTTACCTATGCAAATATTACCTTTTTTGACTACTATTCATTATTTTATGGAATATATCTTTAATTCACAATTCCATTGTCAGGTAACAGGTGGGTTAACATGGATAAAATTATATATATATATATATATATGTATATATATATATATATATATTCCCGTATAGATTTTTGATGTTTACATGCAATTATACAATTATTTTACTCTTGTTTATAAATAATTTTTTCTTCGTAAAGCACCATGGATCATTCAGAGTAAAGGTCTATGAGAGGGAGGATTTCCGAGGTCAGATGATGGAGTTCACTGAAGATTGTGCTAATGTCAATGAGAGATTCCGTTACCATGACATCCACTCCTGCCAGGTGATTGATGGCTACTGGATGTTCTATGAGGAACCAAATTACAAAGGACGCCAGTATTACCTGAGACCTGGAGAGTACAGAAGATATACTGACTGGGGTGCCATGAGCCCAAGAATTGGCTCATTCAGGAGACTTCATCATTTCTAATAAGTTGTATTTATTACTAAATCAGCATGTCATTAAGATTATAATAAAAGCTTCAAAAATGATCTTTAAAGTCTATATTTTTTCATTTTCTATTTAAGTTGTGGTTTTATACCTTTTACTTTACATGCAAAATGCAAACACTTATTTTAAACCACAGTTCAGTAAATAAATTATTAATATAACAATGGTTCCTATAAAAACAAATAATGAGTATGTAATAAGGGGAATTATATTATTTTTTACATATAGTCCCTCAGGAAGTTGAAGTTGTGACAGACAAAATACTTATAGCTTTTTTTACTGAAGGTGGTTTGACCCAAGATATTACAAGATAATACTAATGAAACAGTATTGTAACCTCTAAAACTACATGTAGGTGGGTGGAGGTAATTTCCAGCAGACCAGATATTGTTTGGGATCCAAGATTCTCAATATTTGGGCAGCAAAAAACACATTTACCTGTATTTATCTGTTTTCAGAAGCTTAAATATTAACTTGACAGGATTGGGGAATGCTCTTAACAGCGGTATCAGATCCTGACCCTAGTTCACAACTTGTAGATATTATGCTTATGCCGCAGCCTTGTGCTTAAAATGGCACATTAAGTCAAAAGAGAGGTTCTTCTTGGGCGGGATCCGTCTAATCACCTACCACAACATAGTTGCCATCATGCTAAAAGATAATAAGGAAGACCAAATACAAAAGGGAAATTAAAGCCCTACTGTGGGACAACAGGCAACATTGAAGGACTGTGGTGATATCTGGAAAAGGCAAATCTCAAATCTGTTCACTTTCATCCATCACAGGGTGTGCCTGGTGGAGAATGTGGGTTGCTTAAAACATGTGTGGGGTACAAGAGGAATTTTTTTTTGGAAGAATGGACAAATTTTATTCCATGCCTATTATGAACTGTTTTATCTCATAAACAAACAAA